CTTCCCTGTTCAGTCCAGCGTTTTAATCAAGCCCAAACTAATGGTCCACCAGTTCGGACTTCTCCCTCCCAAAAAACCCCAAAAAAAAAGGGAATAAAAAAGGAGAAAACCAAACCGTAACCAGCAAAGCCGCTTATTACTATAAAGTGAGATTAATGAATGCGCCCGGCCCCCAACTGCGAAACGCTAGAACGATGCCATCGCAGTCTCCTTTTCGGCTGGCAATTAATGAAATTTATTTGCGCCTCCACCTCCACGGCATATTGTTTTTAGCCCAGGGATTGCCAGGATGCGACGAGCGACCAGAAAAGGGAAGATTGTTGGCTGTTTGAGGTGCTAAAATGTTTTTTTGGCAGGCAAATTTAAAAGTAAATTGTTTTGGGTTTGCCGGTTTCTGTTTTAGTAGCCGCTCTGCGGCGAAGTAGATTGGCTTTCAGATGATTTTATTGCAATTTACCAGTAAGGCAGTGGCTTTCATTAGTTGTTCGCCCGTCTAGACCACGACAACGGAAGCTACAAAGATTCTGTAACTAAATGGAAAGGGGATAACCCAAAAAATAATTAAATGCTTCACAGATTACAAAAGTTTAAAAAGGCTACAAAAATTTGTTAGTTATTAAAAATCGTAATAGTTTAACAAATCATGTTCAAATTTCGAACAACTATAAATATGTTACACTTAAAATTTTTAGGTATCTCACAGGGAAATCATGTTTAAATGTGCTCAACTTTTTTATAAAGTTGCTCTTACCTATAACAAACAAAGTTCTTGTAACTTGTAACTATTTTAACACCTTTAAATTACTGCCTTTAAAAATACATTTAGTTAATTACTTTAGATAATCATACGCCACAACAGTGGCAGCATCCAAACACTGACAATTAATATTCGCATGTAAAAAGTAACCGTGGCATGTGGCAAGTTTATACTTTTAACTTTTTGTTCGCATACCTTTTTCTACCTTTGTTTCACCATTCACGCGCTTATATGTATGCATATCGTTTTTTTTTTATTTTTTGCGTGATAAATCTCAATGTAAAAATGTTCACACACACGCCGGGAAAAAGCGCGAAAAAATAAACGCCACCCCGAATGCCAATAAAGGCGCCCACATATGCAGAGCAGCAGAGCTGGGGCACGTTTGAGTTTCACGTGAAAGCATTTTTAATCAAAATTCTCAACAGGCTAAAGCGCAGCTCGAGATCAAAAACACTTGCCACAGCGATGAGTACGTGTGTGTGTGTGTGTGTGTATGAGGAGCTGGGCTCTGGACTCCTGCAACTCCTTGCCACAAAAGCCGACGAGCTGACACACCCACACGGGCCAGGTTTTTGGATAGATTGCAGCTGCAACACCTGCAACACCTGGAAGTAACGTGACTCTGTCTCCTCACCGACTGGAGCAATATCTTGACTAAAGGGGGCGGGACAGTAAATCCCCCTGTTTGCCTTTGCAGCTTTATGCACTCCCCCAAAAAAAGGGGGATCTAGAAAGGAAGCAAACTCCGGAAAGTTAAAGTTTAAATACCCTTGCACCTTTTACAAAAATTTAAAATTCTATAAAACGACTAAGTTTCTAAACAATGAAGCTATGTCGATTTTATGATAAAATTTTAGATAATTTTAATGGGAGCTACAGATACAGTCGTCTGATTTTTATAAAATTAAAAAACAACAAAGTTATAATTTTTTTATTTGTTCCCATAGTTTCTATATTATGTAGCCGTTCGATCGAACACGTTCTGTTATAGAAAAAAAAACTTTTGAGAAAGTTTCATCGCTTTAAAACTATGAGACTATTTTGCGTATAAACGGACAGATGGACGGACAAACAGACTAACAAACGGATATAGCTAGATCAACTCTCCTGCTGATCAAGAATATATATATGTTCACTGCATTCCAAACTTTTAACTGAAATTATAATACCTTTTGTAAAGGGTATAAAAATAGGGGAGATTAACTAAAACAAAAACTGTGTGAAGCGGATTCTCGCTCTTACATTTATTTTTTGACATGTTTGTTTTTTATGCAAATATCGGAAAAAAGATTAGTTTTGTCTGGGGGAATAAATCTCCTCACCGGAGGCGTGACTCCGCAGCATCCTTCTTCTTTTTGTTTTTTTTTTGTTTTGTGCTCTATTCTGCGTGTGTATTTATGCCCGAAACGCTTAACCAACTGACTGCGTTAGTCGTTGCGATTTAGTGCTAATGTGGCCCGGTCTTTTGGCCAACTCACCGCCCCATTCACTGCTGGCTGCTGAAATTTACTGTTTACAATTTGTTGGCTGATTGCTTCTGTTCTCCGCACGCTTTGACTAAATTTATAGCAAGCGATAAGTTGCTTTTTCCCCCTTCCCTTCCCGCCCTGCTATTCTATTTTTTTGGTATTAGTGTATTTATTATAATGCTGTCTTCCATTTGTTGGCTGCATTATTATTTTGCTATTAAGTCGAGGTTTACTCTTTTTTTTTGACAGTCTGCTCTTGGCTGTGTGACTTTGTTATCTGCGGATGGCGGTCATGTTTTCAGCTGAATCTCTGGATGAATGTTTTGCTCTTGACACTACATGCAACATTTTAATTAAGTGCCAAAGCAAAAATGGGGTTCTCAGAAAACGGGGTAATAAATTTTGGTTTTAAGTTGCAGAACTTTTACATGTAATTTCTTACCCAACTTGGTCATACATATAGATAGATATGTTTTTTTGGAGGGAAATCTGTTTATTATTCACCATATTTTCAACCATAATCACACCCACAACCTACACTGATGACTTCCAGGTGTTTGGCAGTCATTTTGTAAACGGAAAATAATTACGTACCCGAAGGCTGGGTGGAAAATTTATGTACGCGGCGTATGAGTAATGTGCACTAGTTTATCCCCAAGTCTAGGAGTTATACAGCTCCAACTTATAATTTACTACTGTCTGCCAGCTATTTTAGCTTGTTTATTATTGTTGTTGTTTGGGCTTTAGCCAGTTGTTTGTTGGTTGTTTATGAGGCCGCCAAAGGGAACCGCAAAATGTGTGAAAATTGCACGGAGGCCAGGTGAACGATGCAAAAATATTTTTGTGTTGATACACTATGGCCGGTCCGGCCTCCCTCTACCCTTCCCTTTCCCACAATGTCTCTATCCTGGTCGCTCACTTGGACTTTTTATGCGGCCGGTGGCAACGTTGGCATTTTTAGTTGTTAATTATGCCAGTTGATTATGCTCTCTGTGCACTCTGGCGCCACGTAATTGGTGTGCATTTGATTTGTGGCAGGTTGTAACGCTCGCCGATAGACTCAAAAGCGAATGGAGGCCCCATATGGAAGTAATTAGTGTAGTTTAGCGGGGACTAACAACCATGCGAATAATGAAGGTAAAAGTTCTGCACAAGACTGCAAAGGCAGGCCAAGGTAAAGTAATGCACTCGCCTCGTTACCTATTAACACAACCGGGCTTTGAGACACACAAAACATGGAAATCAATCAATATTAATTTATCCTGTTTTGAATTTCCACAGATATATAAACTGGTTACCGGATTGCTTCGTCCTTTACTAATCAAAGCATTCTAATTTTCCTTTTGCAATATGGTCTAAAAAAGATTCCTTTAAATGCATTAATATCTCTGACAAATGTTTTACATTTATTTTAAGCTCGTTTGTCATTCCTAATATTAAACATTTTTAAACCAAATGAAATGCTTTGATTTAATAAATAATATATATATAATAATAAATTTAATAATTTAATTAAGTTAAACAATTTTGTTATTTTATAAACCAAGACCGCTTTTAATTGATTTATCAAAGCAAAAATATAAATTTGACTTCATTTTGAAACTAACTAAAATGTTTCATATTCCTTAAGAAAGTGGCATAATCGGTTTAAAAACATTGAACGAATTTGACTACTTTATAAGCCAAAATCGCTTTTAATTAATTTACCAAGAATTTGAATTCACTTCGAATAAACTCAACCGTCCAGAGACCATCGATCAATATGTATTTTGTATTGGAGTTGATTTACCAAATAATTTGCTGCTTTAATCTCATTAAAAGTTATAACTTCTCCCTTTCCCACGTTCAAGTCCCATTAGGGAGAAGAATTTTTGTTATTGAACTTTTTGCTGTTTATAATTTGGTAACGAAAAGAGTGGGAGAAATGAGAGCAGAATGTATAAATACTTGGCCTGCTCTCAGTTTAAGCAAATTAGTTCAATTGCCTGGCTATCCAAGCCCATCCGCCCCGCACAGACTTGATTAGGCTTAGAGAGCAAAAACTTTATCCTTTGCACAGTTGTAAATAAGCAAAAGTAAATTTTGGCAAGTAATTTAAGCCACACAAACAAGCTGGCAAATAACTTTCCACCGCCACCCTTGGGGGCCTGGTGGTTTCTGCTCCCCAAAAGTTTACCATTTACGCCAACTTCTTTGCCCAGTTTTAATTCAAAATCAATGTATGAACGTAGTTTACATTGCGACGCATACTAAACGAAACTTTTTGTGTCGCTCTATCACGACTCTTTTCTTCGTGTACCGGAAAATAAAAGGATTCAGTTAGTTCGGTAATAGAAACTTTGTTTTTAAAAACACAAACAAAAAAATGTATTTTGAATTTTAATGTAGTAAAAATGTATGCTCACTATAAAGGTTTAAAAGCTAACCACCCTAGATCATTAAGGCACTATTGAACCATAGATGTCATCTTGTTGTTTTAAATGATAAATCGATTTGTTAAAAATTCAGTAATTTTTGATACTTAAAGTGTGAGCTCTTTTTATATTATTTTATCAATATAATTTAAATCGAAGGTTATCAAATAACAACTTATCTGTGAATTTTCTGAAAATATCTGACTCAGTGATGGAAACTTTCCAGCATTGAGCTCGTTTTAAGCCACTAGAATGTGCTCCAGTGCATTTGCCATTGAGAGGGGTTCAATTAGGAAGCTGCACTCGACAGCCATAAATAACTGCACAGGATGATGCCGATGACGGCGTGGCACTTACCTTCATAGATGGTTAGAGTTGCATCTGCGTAAACGGCATCGCCCACCCCGTTCTCAGCCACACATTCGTAGGGGGCATCGTCGCGTCCTGCCCGCACCGGCTCAATCCGGAGTATGGAAATCCCGCCGGGCTGTTCCAGCACCGTGTAACGAGACTGGGTTCCTGAAAGGGTTGAAAACATAACGAGGCCCGGTTAAGAAGGGGATTTTGGGTAAGATGGGAAGATGGGGAGGCCACTGCTGAAACTTACCCGAAACTTTTTTGCCATTCTTGCGCCACACTATCGATGGAGGCGGATCACCGCGGGCCGCACAATAGAAACTTGCAACGCCGCCCACTCGAACGCCCTGATTCTGCGGCTTCCTGATGATCTCCGGCGGATCTGTGGAGGGTCGTAAAAGAACATGGCCAACATGGGTTACTAACTGGGCTTAAAAGGCTCTTCAAAGGCAACAATTTTATTGCGGGCTTATATATTTAACGTTTTGAGCGCCTTTTTTGACGCCACACATGCTGGGTTTCCCGCCGAAATTTCCTTGCTAATCTGCAAGCCAGTTATAATATTCCGTATGCTTTTATTTTGGAAAAAAAATATCTGCAAATTTATAAAGCTCATATGTATCTTCAAAAACTATATTTACGTTCGGTTTTTTAGTTTCATCATTACAAAGATTTTATTATTCGGTTTGCTTTCTCGAAAAAAATATGTGCAAGAATCATATTTACGTTTAATTTTTATTTTATTTGGGAGTTTAATATGAGCGTTAAGTAGGCATCTGTCATCAACACAGTTTTTATTACACTGAGTTTTTATACCCTTGCAGAGGGTATTATAATTTTGGTCAAAAGTGTGCAACGCAGTGAAGGAGACATCTCCGACCCTATAAAGTATATATATTCTTGATCAGGATCACCTCCTGAGTTGATATAGCCATGTCCGTCTGTCCGTCTGTCCGTCTGTCCGTCTGTCTGTCCGTCTGTCCGTCTGTCTGTTTCTACGCAAACTAGTCTCTCAGTTTTAAAGCTATCGAATTGAAACTTTGCACACACCCTTCTTTCCTTTGCACGCAGTATATAAGTCGGAACGGCCGGGATCGGCCGACTATATCCTATAGCTGCCATATAACTGAACGATCGGAAATGCCATAACTTTGGTGTTTTTAAAGTTAGGAAGTTGGGATTTTCTATGGGTTTTGTATTTGGCCATTCAATTTGACGTACCAAATTTTATAAAGATCGGCCGACTATATCCTATAACTTCCATATAACTGATTGATCGGAAATGCCATAACTTTGGTGTTTGTAAAGTTAGGAAGTTGGGATTTTCTATGGGTTTTATTTTTGGCCAATCAATCCGACCTACCAAACTTCATAAGGATCGACCGACTATATCCTATAGCTGCCATATAACTGATTGATCGGAAATGCCATAACTTTGGTGTTTTTAAAGTTACGAAGTTGGGATTTTTTATGAGTATTAAGAATGCATCATATGAATAATTTTGGAAAATATAATTTACAGAGTATTCTGCAAGGGTATATCAACTTCGGCTCCGCCCGAAGTTAGCTTTCCTTTCTTGTTATAACTCGGTTTGCTTTTAGCTTTTATTTTGGAAAAAAGAGATCTACAAAATTATGGAGCTTCTATGTCCAAGAACTATATTTACGTTAAGTTTATTATTTGTTTTGGGCATCAGTCGTTTTAAAGCTGCTGCTGAATAACTCGAATGCATTTCCATTATTTCATACATTTCACTTTTTGCTCGTTCCTCTGAGCGAGAGTTTTTGTATATTCTTTTTACATATTTGTCACAATATGCTGTCAATACAACGTCGCATGTTGTTTGCCCACACACACACTCACACACACCCTCGGCGAACGTGCTTCGCAAATGTGTGAGTGAGCCAAAAAGGATGCCAGGATGCGAGGATTGCGGGAATAGGGAAGCCAGGCGGTGGCAGGGAAAACAGATGTGTGGCATTAAAAATCTGGCAAAAATCACGAAACGTTAAACAACCAGCAAAAATATTGTCATGTGCATGTTGCATGCTGCAATAGCATCAGCATCAGCAGCAGCAGCAGAGGCCATGTCCTGCTTTCTGTCAGAAATACGCTCCTGTCGACCCGGAACGTAAAGTAGTTTACCCAACATATCAATTGGATTTATGATTTTCATTCTCGGTTTTTTTCTTTTTTTTGCATCAGTTCTTGATTGAAATTAAATATAAAACGCGACATTTAAATTGTTGAGCAAGAGCACCTAAGGCCGCAGCTAGACTTACGTGTGAGATATTGTATATATGGTATATCCGAATAATTTGCATCTGTAATGGGCATCAGACCGGTTAGTAATGACGTTACAAAACGCGCACGAGAACGACGACAAATTTGCTTCCGATTAACGCGAATTATATATTATTTAATCTTCGGTTATATTTCATTGAATCTCTGCCGTTTTTATTTATATATACTTAATAATAGTGCTAAACCATAAAGTGTGTAAGAAGTACTTAAAATTATCCTAACTTCGTTAGACAATATCATTAACTAGATAATTACTTAAAACTGTCTTATTATATATTAATAATACATAGTAAGATAAAGCAGATTAACCAGGTGTTTTTATTTTTTATGATTTCAATTTATGTGTATATTAATGCTACAACTTATTGTTATATAACTGATTTCGTTCAATAAGCTCTATCGTTTTGAAAACCACTCAATAGCCAATTACGCCGTTCACTTGCAACCAAGTATTATTGAAATAGTACTATAGCTTTTTCGTCACTAAAAGGGGCTTAAAAACTTGGGGTCATTGTCCACCGTACAATGTAAGAGTAGTCTAAATAATTTAAAGTTTTCCACAAGGCAAGCATCCTCTGGCTACCGCTTTGTGGGCAGACTATTTTGGTTTGCGATGCCTGGCCATAATAGAAGCAAATTTGCTGCCGTGCGGCATAGTCAGTGTGTATCATTTACAAAACTTTATCGTCTCAACTTTGGTCGGACAAGTTTTCTGACCAAGCGACAGTGCAATAAGTTAAAGCAGCATCACAAAAAAAATATTTAATTTCTCGAATACTTATTTTAGACATTATATTTTCATAGAGAAAATACTAATCACTTTCATTTGGCAGCAAATTAAGAAAAGTTATCTTGAAGGAAGCAGAAAATTGGCAAAAGCAGAAATAATTTTGCCACCTACTACAATTGCAGCTTTTCCTCATTATAAAAGACGAAGGGGAAAAAATAAAAATACGCCTTACCCCACAAAATGATTTGCCAGCGTGCATTTGCTAGATTTGCGAAGCACTTGAAAGCATTTTACGCTTACGTTAACAGTTTTTATAGCCATGTCTGAGCTGTCGGCGAATCAGCAATAAGCATATTGGTTTTTGTGGCTGTAATGAGCTCTTCTTTCCTCCAAGGTTCTGCCAACTTCAGAGGCGAACGCAAATTCTCGGTAAATATTTTTTTCTCGCATTTGTAAAGTTTTATGTTTGCTTAAACAATTTGATGGCATGGCAATGGCTAAAGGCAAATGCAAAAAAAAAAAAAAAAAAAGAGAGAAAAGCAAAACAGACATTCAAGACACTTCCGTGCCGACTCATAAAAAGCGTATCATTAAGGCTATAAAACAGGGATTTGTGTTTATTTGCGGGATTGCCAACACTGCTCGTTGTTGGTTTTAGGCGAAAATACAGAGATAAAATTTAAATAAATTTAATTATGTTTGTGCTATTCGTGGCTGATATTTCCGGGGATTCATTGCTTGTTTCAAAGATTAAAGGCATAGCAAATGAAATTTGTAGATTACATAAATACATAGCCGCAGGTTATGAAAGGCGAAAATCAAGGAATTCGAAATTGCAGCCAGTTTGGTTCGCGTGCAACTTTTTGCTGATTTTTCATTTCGCACGTTCGGGTGGAAAAATGAAGCTCCGACAACGCAGTCCACATTGAGCAAACAATTTCGTTGTTGATATGTGCAAATTGATTTGAGCGTTTGAAATGTGCAGTTATAGATACACTCGCACACACACTAAGCCCTTACTGGCACACACTCGCACACACGGGCACAAATACAACTATGCGCATTCAAGCAATTTATATGGAAATTAATACTAACATTTTTACTATGGCCGCTACAAAAAAAGAGTTCAGAAAAAAATAGCTCCACATGAAATAGAAAATTCGAATTGATTTTGCGAAATATATTCTATAAGCTTTTTTCCCAATCAGGGGCGTAGTTAATAGAACTAAAAAACAGGGTCAGGCAAAGCGAGAATGGGTCAAAGTGCAAATTGAGAGATGAAAATGATAATAGGTCAAGTGAATCATAAAAGGATGATAGGCCAAGGGTAAAAAATTAAATGGATTTTTTTTAATTTAAATCAAATATCCACCAAGGTGTCTACTTCAGATTAATTTCATTCAAGGGGATCCTTTTAATTTATTAAAATCTACTATACGTACAACAATAGGTATGTATAATGCATTTTCCATGTTGACTATTTAGATTTTATTTCCATTTTTGTAAAATGTATTTAAATTAAATTTGCAAAAGAAAAAGTAGGGGTAACCACATTAATATGATTGGAAATATTTATACCATTTGTATATTATGCAGGCAATAGTAGAAAAAAATAATTAACAAATACCTTTTCCACTTCAATATCTAGTAACATTTAAGACCTATATATTTGCAAATACGATTGCTAAATTCAACTTTCCACAGAAGCCACTAAATTACGCCAAATGTATGATAAGTCTGCCCCTTTTGCCGCCACCGCTGAACTCGTTTTCGTTTTTCCCCTTTAAATTATACCCATAACTTTTGGCCCCATTTTCCAATATGCCAAAATGCTCATAAAAATTGACCCCGTGTGGCATTCACGGGGGAAAAAAAAAAGAAATAGGGAATATGCCTCAATCTCTACTTTAGCCGGCATATGGATGTGTGCATATATAAAATCAGCATATGCTGGAGAGAGAATCGTAAAGTATGCAGCTGGGTTTTATGGCCCCAGGCCTAGTTAGGGAAAAACTTCAAAAGTTAGGCCTGCTGCGGCGTCTACATTCTGGCAATTTATGCCCGAAGCCAGAATTTAACCCCACATCAAGAGTACGACTTTTTAATAAGTGCAAAGTGCGAGTGGGTAACATTTTATGGGCCAAAGGGGTTCAGGTTTTGTATAGCAATGCTCCATTGCCCTTCGCCCCCCTCCTCCCTGCAAATAGTCCTAAGATGCTGCTGCACAGGAAGGATGAGCTGCTAAGCTGCTTGCCCAACTCTATAAGTCCGTATATATGTGTGTGGGCATGTTGGGGACAAATCATTTGGCAGGCAGCACGGGGAAAAATAGGGAAAAAGAGGAAAC